AAAAGTTTCAATCCAACTGTCAATTTTTGAAAATATTAATTAAAAGGTGAATTTTTAGAGAGGTCCTCCAAAAAATATTTTGAAAGGATGACATGCCCTACTATTCTCATATATATGACCCACTTATACAATATTATACATCAATTCTAATTCTTGAAAAGCAAAAGAAATCCTAACTTTAAAAACATTTGCTTTTGATAAAAATTTTCAAAGATCAACTATTAGATTTAATGTTTTATTCATATAAATTATATACATTAATTTTTTAATTAAATAAAATATACAATTAGTTCATTAATTATAAAAAAATTTATCATTATTAAATATATATTAAAAAATACAAATTTCTTGATCAAAATATTATCAATATTAAATCAACTTAAAATTGATATATATAATCTATATCAATTAAATATTAAATATAATTATTAATTTTAAAAATATTTATTAAAAAATAGTAACTTTAAAGTTGGGAGTTGGGACACTAATTCTTTTATAGAAGTCATAATTTATATGCATTTATATTCCATCAAAAGCACTTCACCTAGTAATTAACTCTTAACTCATGAATTCATTGGATTGGTAAATGAGGAAATTTAAATTTTTTAAATACACAATTTTTCTATAAAATGCACTTTTAAAATCTCTATATAAATTAACTCAGAGACATTTATCTCAACGGAGCTTAGGTTCACTAGACTAGGCTTACTTATCATTTTTAAAATTGTGGCTGGAATCACTTTAACAAGGGATTGGAAACTGAATCAGTCACCCATTTATTCTTCACTTGTGAGGCAACTTGGGCACTCTGGCAAGCTTCGTACGCGTGGTGGGGCTTGCAGGCCGTTCTTACATGTGAAGGCTGGAACCACCTACAGCAACATGTTGGAATGCTATAAAATGGAATCTTAAAGGAAGCATGGTATGTGATCTGGTTCTCAGTTATATGGTCCATATGGTTATGGAGGAACAAATTGATTTTTAAAGAAAGAAATGATAATCTAACTACTTTGATGGATTTAATTAAATTATGTTCGCTAAACTGGGTGAGAGCCAACCTAAATGAAGAAAAGCCCAAAGATTTATGGATTGAGAATCTCAGGGAAGTATGTAAAAAAGCACAAAAATTGTTAGAATCTTGTAAAAAAGCACAAAAATTGTTAGAATCTGTTTTGAGTAATGTAATTTGAACAATTTTTGTGATGATATAATAAGTTGAAGTATCCATTTTTTAAATAAATAAATTTTATTTTATTGATTAAAAAAAAAAAAAAAAACAATGGATTGGTGACTGACTTCTTATATGTATGTCTTCCGAACGAATGTACAGCTCTTGATTCTTCTTTTAGCGAAGGAAATTAAATGGAGATGATATATATATATTTTTTTTGAAAATAGGTGATGGAAATGGAGATGATATTTCATTATCAAACAAACACATCAACTTATTTTTTTACCCCAAAAAATTAAAAATGTTTTACTTTAAAATGATTCAGGAAAAGAAAGCACTTCTCAAAATGTCGACTTTTTTGCATAAAAAAGGAATGACATGGTAGTTGCATTGTCAACCATTCCTGTCCTTCCATCTGAAAAAGATGCTCAGATGGTCAGATTTAAGATTTGCCCTTTCTTCCACGATCATGTTTGATGTTGATGACCCTAAATTTTTTTTTTTTTTTT